GGTTGTGTTATTAAGACAAGATTAGCTCTCTTGGCAGCCACATTCAATTTTTGCCTCATATGGAATTAAGGTCAAATCAAACCCCTAAGTCTCTGTCACATGAACAGCTATCAAGCCAAGTACTTTTCATCCTGTGGGTGAAATTGATTTTTCAATGCAAAAAACTTGACTTTTCATTTATAATGTTAAACAAAATGAAATCTTATTGGGTTCAGTTAATTTTTCTGTGCTATCAAGATAAGTCTGATTCTGTCACTTAACATACCAGCTACCCCTCCAAGCTATGAGTCATGCATAAGCCTGATAAGCATACCTTCTATATTTTAATTCCCACATCAGCTCTTAGACTCCCCACTCTCCTCCACAATTCCCTCTTGGGAAGGAAAAATGAAGACCAAACAATGCAGAAGTGAGTGGGAAAGAGTCCTCCCCTTGGGGACTAGGGATCCTCTCATTTTCCTCATACATTCCCTTACCTCCTGTTCCAGAAAATCCTTCAGTTTAAGAAGACTAATACTGCCATTCTATCAATCCTGGGGGTTCTACTAGAAGTATAGCGCCTTTCAGACTAGGGCAGCTCACCAATGCACCATTGGATCCAACTTGCATAGCTTTCAATCATTCCATTAAATTCCCACAATGCTCAAAGTGATTATATGCTCAGCTCACAGCTATGCTATTGTTTCCAACTCTATTGCTTTCTAGCTCTCTAATTTCATCAGCTACGAAGTCACCATCACATGTTTCCTTGCTCTTTCCTTGAATTTAACCTTTGATAATCCCTGTTGGTCAGGTTTTCCCAGTCTATCTGACTGCCTAGTTTCAGGTCTTGCTTATGTTCATTCACCCTCTTGGCACCATTATTTTCTTACCTTAACTGGCTTGGATTGGCAGGGTCAGCTTTTGTTCTGGGTTCTACAAGTCATGGTATCACTATGGCCTTTTGTGCTTTTTGCTGGGGCAGACCTTCACCTCAGGAAAACGATTTCAAAAACTGAGTGGGGGATGGATCATAGAGCTACCTTCAGGGCTATATTGTCTTACTCACTTCAGCTCCATTCCTGATGCCAAGTCACTGATAAAAATGATGAACGGTAAAGGGCTAAAAACAGTACCAGAGGCATGACTGTAGGATCTTACCTCTAGGTTTTCATGGATACATTAATTAATATTCTTTGCATGTGTTTATTCAGCTAGTTGGAAACATATCTAGTTCATCCTTTCCATGAGGGTATCATGAGCCATTATGATAAATGCCTTATGGAGATCAAGATAAACTGTGGTATTCTTTTGAACTATCAGTCCAGTAAATGAATTTCCTTTTTATATTGGGTTAATTTGGCATAATTTATTCTTAGTGAGACCATGTTGGTTTCTAATGATCACTGTCATCTTTTTAAAAGGCTCACAAACATTGTGTTTAATAGTCTCATGTAGGATTTTACTCGGCTTCAGCATCAAACTAATCTATAGTTATCTGAATCTATTTCTGTTCTTTTTGAAAAATTGGGACATTTGTCTGTCTTCAGAATTCTGGCATTTCTCCCTTTCCCCATGATTTCTTAAGGATTATTCTGATGTGCCTCTTTCATCACATCTGCAAATTCTTTCAGAATTCTTTAATGCAATTTGATTAGACCTGGAAACAGGGACCTATTTAAGGTCTCTCATTACCTTTTTCATCTGCTATGTGCTTTACTTTCTTATCAACAATGTTTTTCCCTTTACACTCTGAAAGCTAGTCTGGTATAACAAGAAGAGCACTAGGTCTAGAGTTGGAGGTTCAAATCCCAGCTATGACATTTGCTACACATATGACTTTGGGCAAATCATTTCACTTCTTTGAGCTACCATTTCCTCATCTGCAAAATGATGGGTTTCGGTCAGATAGCCTCAAAGGTTCTTTTACAACTCTGAATCTATGATCCCAATGTTCCAAGATCATTGTTCAATCAGGAAAAAGACTAAAACAAAATGGGAGTTAAGTAGTTCTTTTTGTTTGTCTTTGGGCTCAAGTGATAAGCTTAGAATCAAAGGTTAAGAGTTGGCCTGGTCATCTAGTCCAACCTCCTGGCTCTATTTATGAAAAAAAAAAAAAACAAAAACCAAGGCCCAGAGATTAATTGACTTGGCTAACACCACATGGCAGAGATAATAAAGCTGGGATTCTAACCCAGGTCCTTTGATTCCAAATTCAGAATTCTTGCCACTTCACTACCCAAGAGACCTTCCTTATGCATCTTCTCACTATAAGCATACTCTTCCCCCAAGCCCTTTTCGTTGGGCTTTAGCATTTTTCTGAACCTCACATCATTCCCAGCTTTCTACTGCCTGACATTATCCTCATTGGTTAGTGCCATTCTTTTCAACTCATCTTTAATCAGATACCTCCCCTTCCAACTTCACTACATTGTTCTTCTAAAATTTGTATTCATCAGAGAACTCCCCATGAAATCAAACTGGTTTCCTTAGTTGACTCTCCCTTTTTTTTCCTTTTGGATAATTCTTGATTTAGTAGTCAGAATTTCATGGTGACAGTACCTGATCCTTTACGTGCCACACCTACATTAAACTAACAATGAACTTGATAGATTTTCTTCCCACTTATTGACCAGTTATACGACTAAGGTGACTGAACTAATGAGTTTGGGATTGCTGCCTTCTTGTTCTGGCTTTTTTCACATGGTGCAGACAGAATCTTATTATCATCTCATTTAGGTTTCTACATTCTGAGTTCATAAGCTTGCCTAATGGTGAGGTCAGGGCCACTTCTTTTTTGTTTGTTTTTTTGTTGAGGCAATTGGGGTTAAGTGACTTGCCCAGGGTCACACAGCTAGTAAGTGTCAAGTGTCTGAGGCTAGATTTGATCTCAGGTCCTCCTGACACCAAGGCTAGAGCTCTAAGCCACCTAGCTACCCCAGGGCCACTTTTCTTTAGGAGGGGAAGAGAACAAATATTTACTAAACACCTACTCTGCTAAGTGTTTTTACATATATTGCTTCATTTGATCCTCACAACAACCCTGGGATATAAGTGATATTATTATCCCCAATAGACAGTAGAAGAAATTACTGAAAACAGAAGTGACTTGCCCAGGGCCACACGACTAGTAAGTATCTAAGGCCATATTTGAACTCTGGTCTTCCTCACTCCAAGCTTAGGTTTTTAACCATTGCACCATATACCATCACTACTGGCAAAGGCTGGTTTTATATTTTCTCTGTTTTTCATCTCTTTATTTCCCGAAGGCAGTGCTATAGTAGCCATGTATCTAAAAAGTTGTACTATTGCTAAAATATACTCAATAGTATATTTAGCCAATATACTCAAAAGATTAAAACTTTTTTTTCAGATCACTTCCACTTTTTCCCAAATATTTCATTAGACCAGAAAAGGCAAATCTTAGGACAACACTGCAAATGAACTTTGTATTTGTTCAAATGACTTAAGTTGCAGAAAAGCAATATCAGTTTCCAACAAGTTTCCTTTCCTGTCAAGTCAAACATGTTTGTGTCTAAGAGGTGGGGAAAAAACTGATGAGAAAGAGGAATTGTCATTCGCTCAAGTTTTTGACAGTTTCCTTTTATCCTTTCTTGGCAACTATTAGAACAGGCTCATCCAGTTTCTTCCAAAATGCTTTGTGCTCCTTTTGAAAGCAATGATGTAAAAACTCAAGTGGAGTGTGTATAGCATATTTTAGCAAACAAAAAAAAGCTTATTAATATTAAATTATTCAGTCAGGAATGGAATATGTTTTCAGCTGTATAGGATTCTCCTTTTTGCAGCAGGGAGGCCTGATCTCATGGGAAGGAGACGACATTTAGGGAACATGAACAACTGTTTGGGGGCAAATGCCATAGCTAGTTATCATTTTGACCATTCTACTTGGACTTAGAACAGCTTTGTTATTATGATTTATGGGTGATGACTACCTTACCAATGTCACATCTTGCTAGTACAATAACTCATGTCCCAAAATATAGAGCTGTAAAATTCAGCATCGATTTGTTAAAAAGCTTTCATCTACCACTTTTCAAAGTTTAGATCATCAAAATCTGACTCATACTGAGCACTACTTTAGGCTGACAAACTGCACCCTGAGGGAAAGGGGACTCTTCTACTCAAATGTGAATGACCTATATGTCAATTCTTTTATCCATAAGGAGAAGGCACAGACCCTCCTTTTTGGCCTAATGACATCTCATATGAACACCTGCAGGGTCATACAACTAATTTTAGCTCTGGACAGAAACAGCTGGCACTGATCTCTCAGGTCGCAGGCATTTATCAGAAGTTGCTTTCATTCAGGCATTCTCTGCCTTTTAAACTGAGCATTTCCTCGGCATGGGCATTCTTAGATTTCACACCCTCATTGATATTGTGATTGAGAAGTCCTTTAAATGAAGCTTAATACATTCTGACCTCTTGAATTAAAGTAAAAGATGCCGAATTTAGTTCAAAACAGAAGCAAATTAGCTTCTTCTTAAAAGTAGGAAATAAATATTACTCCTGAGTTTTCTGTGTTTCACCTAGTGAAATATGTAACTGGACTCTTGCCTTAGTCTCATTTTCTCACTGAAGATCAGATCGGAAACATGTTATTTCTAATTGACATCCCACCAAATTGAAAGAATTTGGCATTACACTACTTAAAAAAAAAAAAAGGAAAGAAACTAAACAAACCCAGCTATTTGAAATGCAAATATTCCACAAAAGCCTCCAAGTAAGTTTCCAGCTGCTTCGTGCCCTGCATGCCAACGCCTTCTCCCTGTCCGACTAGGCTGGAAACCGCGCGTCTCCAGGCTGCCGCGCCAAGCCTGAGAATTGCAGAAAACCCGGCAGCTGTCTGCTTCTTTGCAGGCCCACAGCACCTCCGTTTCCACGTCTCACTTCCTCCCTACCCGGCTACAGAGCTGGCTGACGCGTCTACACTGAACAGGGGGAAGCGCGCATTCCAGCCATCACTGCTTCTCCGCGGCCGCCCGGCTTCCCCAACTCACCAGCGTGCGAAGTTTCCTTTGCTTGCAGAGAGATGGGTGTCGGGTTTCACAGCCGGCTCCCTTTCCCTTCACCGAGTGTCCCAGCTGTGCAGCTTCCCGGGTTTCGATCACAGCAGTAAAAGCAGAATCGGGTCTTTAGCAGGCGACAGTCATGGGGTAGGTGGGGGGGGGAATAGGCACCCGCTTTTTGAATCCCGAGATGTCGTTTGGCTTTCTCTCCCAGACCCTGTCCGGCAAGACTGGCAGTTACAGTTCTACAGTGGCACCACCCACCCCCTTGAAGTCTGCTGAAGCTGCTTCTGTCTGAAAGGTTTGTATGAAAAGAAGGCGTGCCTCCAGAACCTTAACAAGGATATGAGGAACTCACCTCCGGCAAATCTTGTTTGTGACTCAGCTGCCTGGAAAGGCAACTCGGTTGGCGGCTGCTGGCGGAATTCTCCAACAGAAAGCGTAGCAGTGGGCTTGATTCCATTCATTTATCTTCTGCGTTTACGCAGCCGCTTCCTTACAGAGCCCCGGGCACTAGAGGGAAACGCTTCCAACACACAGTTTTCCCCAAAGAGCCTCAGCTACGGGAAGGGAGGCATCGAAAGGCAAGGGGCCTGAGGTAGAGGAAGGATCCCGGTGAAAAGGAGGGCTGGGAATTATGCTTTGGAAAAGTTGAGAGTCCTAAGGCTATCGCTATGCACAAGTCCAGGCCCTACTTCCTGAAGACATCTCACAAGTTTGGTAAATAAAGGCTAATGCCAAAGCGAGCTAACAAATAAATTAATACAAGACTTCTGGTACCTTGAGTAAATATTTGTACCCGTGTTTGCTAAAACTCTGGTTGGCAGATGGTAATGGAACAATTACCTGGCCAAGGCTGTGTCTAGCCTAGATGAAACCTCCACAGCCAGTTGATGGAATCAACTCAGCAAAATAAATAAATAAAATATAATTGTTTTGAAAGGAAGGCCAAAGGAGGTCTTTGGCATCTCCTTGACAATACAGTCTGATTGGTTTCCCTGATTTTCATTTGGTTCTGGTGCGACCAGTAGACAACCTCAGAGCCCTTGCCACAGGATTCAGGTAATACCTAGGGTTAGGGAAGGAAGAGGAGGTGAGAGAGGGAGAAAGAGAGGGAGAGAGAGAGGGAGAGGGAAGGGGGGCAGAAAGAAGGGGAAAGGAGGCGGAGGAAGGGAAGGAGGAAGAATGGGAAGCACAGCTAGGAGGTGGTAGATCCTGCTTCTCTTGTTATCCCCATGATCCATTTGGGGAGTGGAAGCTGAGTTAAGTATGAGGTCAAAATGGATCAACATATGACTAAGTTAAGCAACACTGTATCTAGGGCAGTAGTGGAAAGATTATGAGACTGAACCTTAGGAGACCTGGGATACAAGCTGCATGACTTCCAAACAGGTCAGTCCATTACTCATCTAGGCAATGATCTCCAGACTTTCTTTGTTGTTAATCACATCTCCCTATTAGTTTAAAAAAAAATTTTGATCATGCCTTCACAACTTATGTATATTTATTAATGTATAAAAGAGTTAGAGTGACACAGGGCTTGCACAGCTGGCTCTAATCCAGGAAAATCTGATTTCAAGTTCCATTTCTGCCACTTACTGATGGTATGGCCCTGGTCAACTCACTTAACTTCTAAGTGCTGCTAAGACTATAAATTTTGGGGAAGACATCAACTTGCTTTGGTAGAGGGAGTTTGCTCACCAAAAAGTTTCCTACAACAATGAAGTCACAATGAAGTTGCTTTACAAGTACTGCTATACCCATATATTATGTACATTATAAAATGATTAGAGAGATATTTTTAAAAGATGAAATGAACAATATCTTAAAAATCTTAGCAAAGATACAATACCTCAATTTATTTTAAATAATATATCTAAAATATTATTTTAAATGGTCTCTGGGTAAGGAGAATATAGGATTGGGTCCTAGCAACTTTGAACCAAACTGCCTGGGTAGGGGGAGTAGGACTGGAGCTTGGGATCATTGTAAAAGGCAAGACAATGTCTGATTATCTGGCTGCCTGAGTTGAGTGGAGTGGGATCAGAGAATAGAGAAGTAGAAAGAGTGTGTGACCTCAAGCTAGATAAGAGGTAAATCAAGTGGGGCACAGGACCAAGTTACCTGGGCAAGGGAATACAAGTACATGCCTCCAAGCACACCAAAAAAAAATAATAATTACTAATGTCTTGGGGGTAGCAAATTTAGAGGCTAAAATGATACTTGGTTCTGGCAAGGAAGAGGCAGGGCACTGACATTAGTAGCAGGAGCAGCAGAGAGGTACTCCTGGATTTGCTGCTAATCTCTCCTCCTGTGCCAGTCATTGGCTGGCTGCTTGAAGTAGTTATAACCTAGATGCCCATGAGCAGCTGTTGCTCAGGCACAGTTGGGAAAATTCCCTCACCCATCCTCAGTTTACATATACCCTACATTGTAGATCTCCTCCAGTGAGCACCCCTAATGAAGGGGGTGGTGACATTGCTTGAGACCACACACCCTGTGATTAGTTATTTAGTGGAAGTGGGTTCTCCAATCTCCATCATTCAACTTGATGCTGGAAGATGCACCCTATAGATTATCTTATGCATCCCTCTTTGGAGATATCTAGACTTCATTTTCCCCTCATCTGTCAAATGAAAGTGTTCAATAATATATCTCTTAAGTTTCTTTTCAGTTCTAACATTGTCATTCTTCTCGTCTCTTGCTTCCCATCCCATTCCCCAGATCTGCCCACAGTTGGGAGAGGGGAGTAGAGAAAGAAGAGGAAGAATAGCCATGAGTCATTTCAACGGGTATATCAGTAACTGGTATAACAAAGTACTTAAAGGTTTAATGGAAGACTAGATTTCTCCTAACACATTCTCAAGCCATTCCAGTTCTCCTGTAGTAGTGAAATCTCACCACAGAGATAGCATAAAGAGGAGCCAGGCAACCTGAGTTTGAATGTCAGCTCTGCCACCTCCTACTGTGTGTCCATGGACAAGATAGTTAACCTTTCTGGGCATCAGTTTCATCTGTGAAATGAGGATGTTGAACTAGAATGCCTCTATGGTCACTTCCAGCTATAACTCAATGACCCTATGGTTCAACAAGAATACTACTTGCATACATTTACTTGTTTTTCACATCATGGTGCAGTAGAAAGGCCATTCAATTTGGAGTCAGAGGACCTGGGTTTAAATTCCAACTCTGCCACCTGGACCATGTATAATCTGGACTCTGCCACCTGGACCTGTATAATCCGGACCATTTTACTTACTCTCTCAGGGTCTTAGTTTACTTGATGATAAAAATAGGAGCAGTGGGGGAGGTAAATTAGTTGATCCCTAAAGTCCCTTCCACCTCTAAACCTATGATCAAAACACCTTTCTTGTCCACCACCACCCCAATTAGAATATAAACACCTTGAGGGCAAGGTTTTTTCATATTTCTTTCCCTAGCACTTAGAACAGTGTCAGGCACATAATAACTCTTTAATAATGTGTTTTCATTCATTCATTTATTATCTCAAAAATCAACATTTAGGTGGTACAGTAATAGATGTATCTACCATGAAACTACGTGTGTATGTGTGTGTGTGTGAGTGTGTGTGAGTGTGTTTGCATTTTCAGATGCAGGATTAAACAGATGTTAGAAGAAAAGTACACCTGGAATAAGTTGCTGTATTGTTTTTGCTAAGGTATTAGTTTAAGATGATATAGTGACTATTCATTACCTAGTTTTTTCAGTTCAATTATTACTAACAGAAAAAAAATATTCCCTGCCATTTTGATTATAACACAATTTTTATTCTCATCTACATTGGTGATGTCACAGAATGTGCCAGTATCCAGTATGATAAAACAAGGTGAATGACTGACCTAGAGTTATCTACTCCATTCTTGATGTTTAGGTTCTGAACCAGGAGCCAGGTATGTTCCCAAAGGCAGAGAGAGCATAGGAAGCTAGAGAGACTGATGGGAAAATTCTTAGGTTTTGTTTTGCTTTGTTTTGGTAAAACTTTGCTTTTTCAGCAGAGGGGTGGCAAAGGAGAACTAGTAGCGGCATTTGTGAAGAAAGATGCCCTTAGAGCAACAGGTATTAACATTTTGAAGAGACAGGAACACTGGTTATTTTGAAAAAATGAGAGATCTGTGAAAACAAGGCAGTGACATAACTTAATCACCTTCTTAAAAACCTCCCTTCAACATGATTTCACATAAAGTAAAATAATTCTACCCAATCCTTGTCCTTAATGAATTTGCAATCCAAACAGACGACACTGATGTGGACAGCTATTCAATGAGATACTCTGATACATATAGATACCTATTTCAAAAAAGAAAGTACTAGAGATTTTATAGTATAAGAACAATTAAGTGAGGAATGAAGAAAACAATATTAAGGGCATTGAGTGTCAAATATCTTAAGTCCCTTTGCAATAATTACATTCCAAGAAGGCAATATGGGACAGGTAGCAAGCTACCCAGGCAAGGCTTCAGGTAGCAAGTTTGACGGAGGATCCTTTACAGACATTTAAGAATGATGAAAGGGAAACATATGGGTAGGCTGGATTAAGAAGGGCATTACAGGCTTGTGAGAAAACTTAGAGGCTGCAGATAACAGGGTACTAATGGATCTTCCAAGGAGCATGGGGAGGTCAAAATCAATGGAAAATCCCAATAAGTCCAGTAGATAAGAAGCTAAGATGACTATTTTTATCTACTTTATTTTCTACATTTTCTCAAGGGTATCACTTTTGGCTTTGTATCTCTAGCGCCTAGCACAGTGGATTCCACATAGTAAATGCTTAATATATGATTGTTGACTGAAGTCCTGTGACACAACCATGATTATATGAAAACGATTGTCATTAAAAATCTTGATGGAAATACCAACTGACAACAGATTAAGATTAGGGAGTCATTCTTGAGTGTGCCTCCAGTTTCAGGTCATTTTTGATCAAGTTCATCTAATCATAAAAAAAACTATCAACCCCTCTCCAATTAGAGGAAACCCCAAAGCATGCACAACATGACTAACATGTCACAAGATCAAGTTCCCAGGGCTAGAATCATCCCTGCCAATTTCTCTTACTGCTTTCAGAGATTGGCTTTCAGAAGAATTCATGCTTCAGTAACTTTCCTCATAAGCACATGATTTTGAGCCTGTTGGCATGCATGTCTGCATCAGGAGCCCTGTTTCTGATTTCCATCTGTAAGACTGGGTCTGGCTAGAAATTTGTAGGCAGGACTTTTGGTAATCTTAACCTTTTTTCTTAATCTTATTTTAGCCTCAACATCTTCATCTGTAAGGTGAAGAAACTTTTTTCTGGTGTTCTCTGAGTAGGTTGTGAAAATGGGTGAACATATATGTTTATTCTTTTCCTCCCAGGTGATGCCTGTGGTAAAGATATGGAGGTTTCCCCAAAAGTCTTTGTACTGCTTTGTTTGTCATTATCCTGGCCAGACACCAAACATTTATTAAGTCCTTACTATGTGCCAGCCACTGTGGAAGATCTAGGGATAAAAAGAAAGGCAAAGGCATGATTCTTGCCCTCAAGGAACTCACAGTCTAATAATGGAGACAATATGAAAATAACTATGTACATATA